GATCCAGAGGACTCTGGGCTGCGCCGCGGGGCCCGACGGCGCCTCCCCCGCGGGCACGACCAGCTCCCCACGACGGCGCCGGGGACGCGCCCTGGGCGGGGACCTGCGCGCCTGGACCCGGCGGGCCCGCGGCTCAGCTCCCCGGCGCGAGGGGGAGGGGGAAGGTCGGGCAGAGCAGGACGGGAGCAGCCTGGGGGGCGGGTGCGTGGAGGGGCCCCCAGACTCCTGGGGATGGGGAAGGAGGCGCCGCAGCTCAGAGGTGAGAGGGCTGCGGGGCCTTTGATCTCCCTGAGGCGCGCACCCCGCAGGGAAATGGAATCATGGTGAGGAAGCGCCCCCTTCTGGCCAGAGAGGGAGCTGTCGGCCACGTTTTCCAGCTCTGGGATGGAGACTGGCCCAGAGGCTCCTACTTTTTCTGAAGGACAGTTAAGGAATCCAGTTTCTCCTGAGAAAGAGGGGAGACCACCCCTGAAATCACCCTTCACGGGATCCTTTTGACCGGCGCCATCTTAGGAGCAATGAGTTTCTCTCTCGAGATCTTGTTTTTTGGTCAGAGAGCATTTTTGGAGATCTCACTCCTGCCTGTCTGTGTCATCACCCTCCACCCAAGTCAGCAACAAAATGCTCAGAGACCTGCATCCCACCCTGGGCTCTCACCTGCTCTCCCGGACTCCCAGACCAGGCTGGTTTCTGGGGTTTGTGCCCCTCCCTCCATCTAAACTGTTCTCTCCACTGGAGGATGGTCACATGAGGCTGCTTAGGTGTCCATGGAGGAAACAAAAAGCATTAAATTTCCATTTCTTCCTACTCAGGCCCCCCAATCGCCATATGTGACCCATCACCCCATCTCTGAGCATGAGGTCACCCTGAGGTGCTGGGCCTTGGGCTTCTACCCTGATGACATCACCCTGACCTGGCAGCGAGTTGGGGAGGACCTGACCCAGGACACAGAGCTGGTGAACACCAGGCGGGGGGCAGTGGGGACTGGAAACTTCCAGAAGTGGGCAGCTGTGGAGGTGCCTTCTGGAGAGGAGCAGAGATACACATGCCATGTGCAGCATGAGGGGTTGATAGCACCCCTAGTCCTGAGATGGGATAAGGAAGGAAATGTGGGCACAGAGGCTGACTCGGGGCCATCAGAAGCCCTTCTGGAGACCTTCAGAGAGTCAGACCAAGGCCTCAGGTTCAGGGTCTGACCTTCCCTTCCCTTCCAGTGCCACCTCCTCAGTTCTCCATCCTTGCCGTGGTCCTCATTTCCAGCTCGGTTTTCTTTAGAGGTGCTCATTGGACACAAGGTGGCTTCATGTGTGAGGGGGTAGAAGAAGTGCTCAGGTAGGGAAGGGAGTGGGGGATCTTGTCCACTGGGGGCTTTCATGTCCCAGGGAGAACTTGCCCTGCCTGGTTAATGGGAAGTACCATCCACACACACGGGTGTTGCCCAGAGAGCATTTGGTCCAGTCCCCCTTCATCTCCTTTCCTCATTTTTCCCAGTCCTGACCTGGGTCTTTAGTCCCAGTTCTGGAAACTTCCCTGTTCTGCAGGATTAGAAGATTCCTTTAGGACTTCTGACCTGACTACTCCCTGGTCTCACCTGATGTTTCTTCCCACAGGAGGACAAGGAGGAAGCTACACTCAGGCTGCAAGTAAGTGTGGTCAAGGCTTTGATCCCTGAGCCCTGGGAATGGTGTAGATGGAGCCCATGAGAGAGTCACTCTCATCAGTTTCTCCTGTGGTCTCATCTCTCACCAAGTTTTGTTGTGTTCTCCCCCAGGCAGCCACAGTCCCTGTGCTCTGAAGTGTATCTCCGCCCCTATAGGTGAGACCCTGGAGAATTGCAGTGGGGGTGGGGATTGAGGCAGAGAGGCTGGGACTATGCAATGGGGATGCTTTCAGGAGGACATCTTGAGAATGCAGTGGACCATTGATAATGTTAACACTCGGGTAATGAGTGAGCTGTCAGGGGTGAAGATGCCACCACAACCTAGCAGGGGCTAGGACAGGAGGGGGGGTCCTGCCCAGCTCCTTACACCTCAAGCCAACCATAAACCTCCTCCTCTTCTGCAGGTCTAATGCTTTTTCAGTCCCACTCAGAAGCTCCTTCTCCGTGGAACTGTATTTATTGGGGTGTTGTTCTGACACTCTTTACACTGTGTGAAATTTGAATTACTTTATTCTGGGGCTTGATGTTAATTGACTTCCCATCATTTTATATTGTGTACCCTGTCATTCTTGTTACACACACACACACACACACACACACACACACACACACATGCGCACATTCCCCTTTCCTTGGGAACCAGACCCTCACTCAGCACTGGGGTACTCTGACCCTCTGTTTCTGGTCCCCTCAGAGCCTCCCTCTCTGCAGTGTCTCTATTCAGCAGTGCCTGGGCAGCCCCAGGAGTCCCTGCACCTCCTGCCTCTGCCCTTGTGGGCAATCAGCCCCTCACCCTGCATGGCAGTGAGGAGGCGAAGGCCAGTCCTGAGGTCAGTGACCAATAGAGGAGACAATTTACCTTTTTCTTTTCTTTTCCCCCTCATTGTATTATTCAGTTGAGGTTAGCATTGGTTTACACACTGTATGTGTTCAGAGGCAAGGGTCACATCTCTTCAGATGTTTGTTACCACATCACACCCACCCTAAGGGCACCCATAGTCTTCACTACAGTCCATTGGGCCCTCTTCCTACTTTGTTTCCTACTCTTACCCCCAGCCATAGCTTCAATTCTACAGTCATATATATAGAATATGTTTTGGTTTAGTTTCATCTGTCCCAACTTTATTTCTTTATATTCCAAATATGAATGAAATCATCTGTATATAACTTTTTCCTTCAAATTTATTTCACTTAGTATAATCCCATCCACATCTATCCATGTTGTTGCAAATTCAATTATTTCATCTTTTTCACAGCTGAGTAGTATTCCATAGTGTGTATAGCTTGTGTTCTTTATCCCCTCATCTGCCGTTGGGCACTTAGTTTGTCTCCATCGCTTGGTTATAGTAGACAGTGCCGCAGTGACCGTAGGAGGCGCACATTCCTTGGAATTAGTGTTTTAACTTCTTTGGATAAATACCATGGAATGGGATCCTTGACCATATGACAGGTCTATTTTGAGGAACCTTCATTTTTTTTTTCCCCCCATAGGGGCAGGACCAATGTGCTATCCATAGAAAACAGAGGTACCAAGTTACCGCCCCGCCTAAGGAAAGGTGGGGCTGAGCAGGGATGAGAAGCTAAGGAAGAGGAGGAAGACGTGGAGCAAGATGGGGAGAGGAGACTGAGGAGGTGCATGGAGCAGAGAGACATGTGAAGAAGAAACCACACCTTGCTTCTCACTTGGACTTGTGCCACGGAGTTGGGGACATGGAAAGAGACATGTGAAAGAGATTAAAAACATGGGTGAGAGACTCATGGGGAGGCTGACAATGACCGCTGTTATCTTGTCGTGGATTTTGATTTTGTTCTTTTCCTTCCAGACTTGCCTGGCCCCTCCTGCCCCTTTCCCATGGGTCTCTACCAGTAGGTGCCTTAGCCTTGTGGCAGGCGTTCGGGCCCCAGTGGGCCTGCTTTGGGCCCAGCCTGTTTGGCTGGGCATTTACCCATGAGGGGATGGGTAACTTTGGGTGCTTCACTCGGGAACTATACTAACTATATTCTTTCTCTTCTTCTCTCTATTGCACACTGATTCTCTATTTTATAGTAATTGTATTAAAGTTCTTTTCTATTGAAGGTCTTACACTTTAGTGTATGTTTTGTCTTTATGCAGCTGATGGCAGATCCCATGTAGAGTGTGCAGTTTTGAAGGTCCAGGGAACCCCTCATTCTGCCCACTGACAGGACAAGACATCATTCCCACCCACCATGTGCCAGAGTTCCTTTTTCTCCACACCTTTCAATGGGTCATTCTCACAGATGTGAGGTGGGAACTCACTGTGGTTTTATTTATTTTTTAAAGATTTATTTATTTATTCATACAAGCACTGGGTACAGTAAGAAGCGCAGGAGGGTGAGAGAATTCACCAGAGCCAGAGCAGGGAACAGAACAGGCAGGCTGACGAAGAAATACACTGCTGAGGGGAGCAGCAGGAGAGGCAGGTGAGGTCTGTTGCACCATGTGGGACCCTCGCCTGCGGCCGGGGATCAAACTGGCTTGCAGAGGCTGCTGGCAGCTTCGCAGCCCAGTGCTCACCCGCTGCGCCACCAGGGGAGGCCTTCATTGTGGTTTGAATTGGCATTTTTCTGACAGCACATGATGATAAACTTGTATCCATATATCTATTGGCCACATGTGTATCTTTTTTAGAAAAGTACCTATTTAGCTCCTCTCCTCTGTTTTGAGGTGTTTTCTTGTTTTGGAGTTCTTTGTAGATCTTGGATATTAAATCCTTATTGGATTGATGATGTACAAATAGTTTCTCCAATTTGATATTGTCTTTTCATTTTAACGATAGTTTCCTTCACTATGTAGCTTTTTAGTCTGATGTGATTCCACTGGTTCCTTTTTGCTTTTGAGTCCTTGGAGCACAGAAGACACTATGGGCAGTGAAAATCCTCTGTATGATATTCTCATGATGGACACAGGTCATTACACATGTGTCCAACACCCCAAGAATGGACAATACCAGAGTAAACCCAAAGGGAAACCATGACTTTGCAACTATGACGAGCAGGTCCATTACTTGTAACCCACGTGTCAGTCTGGTCTTAACACGTGATTTGGTCATGATGTGTGAAGAGTTTTATAAGTTGAGGAATGAAGTGTAATTTACTTTAGAAAGCATATTTCATGCTCATACAAGGACATTTAAATAACACTCAAGGATATGCATAAGTCATTCCCCTCCACCCCCAACACCCCAATCAGCCAGTATCTGCTCAAAACCTAGCAATTTATCTTTTCTCTTCCAAATATATGTATCTCCATGCTCCTGTCTGGGCAATAGTGTTCGTTTTCCCATCAGTAAAGGAGTTCAGGTCATAGAGTTGGGGGGAAACATTTGCAAATCACGAATCTGACAAAGGACTGTATCTACAAATAATGCCGAAAACTCAATGATCAGAAAGAAATAACCCAATTTTAATAAGGACAAAAATAGTGTAATAAATGAATGGCACCTCATCTGTAAAAATGTACAAAACTTCTATACAAACGGCAACTGTATTCATAGAAAAGTGAAAATATGAACAAATGCTCACTATCACAGTTAAGAACAGTGACACCATCACACCTAGGAGAGACTGAAAATGCAAACTCTGCACAATACCAGGTGCTGTCCAGGGTGTGAACAACAGAAGCCTCATTACATTCATTTTTTTAAATTTTTTATTTATATAAGAGCTGGGGTACAGGCCCAAGTCGCGGGAGAGTGAAAGGGTTCACCAGAGACCTGATTCACTGGTGAATCAGGATTCACCAGAGTGGGGAGCAGAACAGACAGACAGACTGAAAGCACTGCTGAGGGAAGCAGCGGGCGAGAGAGGAGATGTCTGCCCTGCCAAGTGGGAGTCTTCCTGGCTGGCCGGGAATCGAACCTGCACTGCGGAGGCTGCGGACAGCTTCACAGCACTGCGTTCAACCCACTGCGCCACCGTGGAGGGCCCTCATCACATTCATTTAAAAGATGCTTTAGGGGCTGAGAGACACATCAGAGCCCTGGGCACTGTTGTTGCCTGGTTGAGAACAAAACAGAACCTGGTAAGAGATGACACCACAGGAGGGACTGATGAGGGTGTGCCGCGGACCAGCACAGCAGTGAACGATGAGGCCGTCTCAGGGTTGAGAGACTGCGCAGGGTGGTCAGGGATTCGGTTAAAGAAATGACAAACAGACACACTTCAAGAGTGAAAATCTGAGTGTAATTTTATTTGAATTGGTGACCAGTATATATATGTTTTCTAAAAGCATAGGAATGGCGAACATCAGTGAAGAAATCAGCTTGTTTATAGGTTTAGCTTATCATTGACAGGGCAGTGATCTCTAGGAATCCCTAGGTCCCGCTGGGCAACCAGCGCGCAGGAGGAGAACAGCAAAAACCGCCTGAAGACATAGATAAGACGGAAGCCTGTTGAAAGATAACGACCACCAGGAGCCACTACAGGAATGCTGTCTGCACGGAAACTTATCTCACCTTCTCTAGACCCACAAACTTTATTCTAATACAACCATCTCTCTAAAATCTTTTCTCTTTCTCTGTTTAAAAGGTCATTGGTTTGCCAATTAAAAAGAAATACGAAATCTAATAACTAGGCTGATTCAAATGAAACGTTACTAAACTCTGTGTATTAATAGAACTGCTAGCTTAATAATTTCTCTGTTGTATACTTAGCCTTGTTAGTATTAATCTAAATGATAAAAATATTACATTGTGAAAAGTAAAATTCACCCGTGTTAATTAATAGTAATAGTGAGTAGTTAAAACAAAAAGTAATGATATAAAACAAAAAGAAAAATTAATAGCCTAACTACTTAGGAATGCGCCTGGGTCCAGATGTAAATCACTGCCCTGTCAATGATAAGCTAAACCTATAAGCAAGCTGATTTCTTCACTGATGTTCGCCTTCCTATGCTTTTAGACAACATATATATACTGGTCACCAACTCAAAGAAATTACACTCAGATTTTCACTCTGGAAGTGTGTCTGTTTGTCATTTCTTTAACCGAATCCCTGACCCACCACGCGCAGTATCTCAACCCTGAGACGGCCTCATCGTTCACTGGCTGTGCTGGTCCGCCAGCAAGGTGACTCCCCCATGGAGTCCATTTTACACTGTCCCCAGGGCCTCAGGGTTCAAACCACTGATCTACACTTACCTAGAGCCTGAGTGTAGCTTCCTCCTTGTCTCCCTGGGGGTAGAAAAATCATTGAGACCAGGGGAGCAGTCAGGTCAGAAGACTAAAGGAATCTTCTAATCCTGCACCACAGGGAAGTTTCCAGACTGGGACTAAAGACCCAGGTCAGGACTGGGGAAAAGAAAAGAAGGAGGTGAGGGGGACTGGACAAATGCCCTCTGGGGCAACACACGTGTGTGGATTGGCACTTCCCATAAACAGGCAGGGCAAGTTCTGCCTGGGACATGGAAGCCCCCAGTGAACAAGATCCCTCACTCCTTTCTCTACCTGAGTGCTTCTTCCTCCACATCACAGTCAGCCACCGCAGCTCCAGGGAGCAAGCTCCAAGGAGAAACCAGGCCCAGCAATGATGCCCGCGGTGGGGATTGGAGGACTGAGGAGGGGGCACTGGAAGGAAGGGGAAGAAGATCATACCTGAGCTCCAGAACCTATCCTGACTCTCGAAGGTCTCCAGAAGGGGCTCCTGATGGCCCTGAGAACAGCCTCGGTGCCCACATCCTCCCCTTACCCCATCTCAGGACTTGGGGCTCCAGCAGTCCCTCATGCTGCACATGGCACGTGTATCTCTGCTCCTTTCCAGAAGGCACCACCACAGCCGCCCATTCTGGAAGGTTCCATTCCCCGGCCTGGTCTCCACCAGCTCCCATCTCCTGGGTCAGGTCCTCCCCCATCTCGCTGCCAGGTCAGGGTGATGTCCGCAGGGTAGAAGCCCAGGGCCCAGCACCTCAGGGTGACCTCATCTCCGAGGTGGGGTGGTGTGGTACTGTGTCCTTGGGGGATCTGAGGGTGGTAAATCAGAGAAGTCATTTTGTGTTCCTCCATGGACACTGAAGAATCCTCATGAGACCATCCTCACAATGGACAAGACAACTGGTGTGCAGAAGAAGCATAAAGTGTAAAAACAGGCTTAATCTGGGGAATCTGTGCGATTCTCCTATTCCTAAGAAAGTTCTGGAATG